AACCAATTAAAACCCACCACCCCAAAAGCCACCACTACCAATTTCTATCTCTCACATGCATTTTTTCAAACACCTTATATGCATTGTTAATATACCATTCAATCCAGATCTAAATATGTAACAAATGATTGGGACCTGAGAGATTTGCTGTTTATAGAGCTACCAAATCAAATGAAACATGGTTACTTACTTGAGCATCTCAGCAAAGCTCATAGCCTCATCAATTCCAGGAATTGCATTAGCTAGATTGGACAAAAAACCATCTATTCCATCTGTGCCAAGAGCCTCTTCATTCTCCATGGATGGACCTACCTCCTATAGGAACCAAACAAACAATAAAAAATTTGGTTACATGACATCAAACCAGAGTATCAAAATTCATAAGATCAAGTTGAATCAAAGTCTAGATAACTGGATAATTATCAGGTATTTGATGAAGCATCACATGGCCAAGAATCATAACAACCCTGTGATCCAATCTTCTCTTAAATAGAAATCAGAAGCTCAAATACAACTTTAGGTAAGGAATAAATCCAGCGAATGTCATGTAAACTTAATACATAAACAGAGTAAACAATGGTAGAATTCCACAAACTTTTTTTTTTTTTATATTATAATCAGGTATCCCAGTAAACCTAATTCATAAACATTAAATTTCAGTTTAAATAAAAAAAATCTTAACTCCTACAAAATTTTTCACATCTGACCATTTCATATGATTCCACTTTTGATTTTCTTATTTCCAGCTCATTTCTTCGAAACAAATGAAAAAAATTACAAAAAAACTATAAACATGATAAGAGACCCATGTGCTTACAGGAATTATACCATCTGCAATTCTGAGCCTGTAATGTTCTTGAGCAGTTATCTTTAGTTTTTCAGCAGCCTTACAAATTTACACCCAACATTGATCAACAAAGATGATTCTAAAATTATCAGATTTATCACATACCTTAGGAGCTGCTTGGGAAGACTTCCACAATATTGCAGCACATGCTTCGGGACTGGTACAGGATAATAACATTGAGAAAGAAATCTAATAAAAATCAAGGAATAGAGTAACACGCAACACGGTTTAGCGCTGCAAGGAAGATAATCATTGGTGACCACGAAGCCTACACTTTTCATTTTTATTACATTCACGGAGGAGGAAGGGGGATGAGATTGCTGAAGGTGAATAAATTACAGCCCTTTGAACAGTACATTTGGCTAGAGTGAAGAATGGTTGAACACCACAACTTTTTATTATTTATAAACAGAGTAAAGAATGGTTAGACAATGCATTTAGATCTACCAATTTCTAGTTTGCTCTATTGCTGGAAATATACCATGATGGGTCAAATATACCAAATTCTTCCTTAGATTCTTCATTTTGCAGTGTCTGCCATTGTTGATGAAGATTGGGATGGCGCAGAGAGAGAGGGAGGAAGAGAGAAGACGAAAAGGGTAATAGGGGGTTCGGGGTTGTGTCTCCGGCAATTGTTGGGCTCCGATAGGAATTGAAGAAGAGCATGGGAATGGCCTCCGATGGAGAGAGAGAGAGAGAGAGAGAGAGAGGGGGGGTCTGTTCAAATTTTGAAATTTAGAAGAGAGACAGATTTTGAGATGTGAGGAGTAGGTGTGAGAGATACATTTTGAGATATTTTGGAACTTATATTTTGCACCATTAGATCTTGATGTAATTGATCTCAATCATTAAAATGTCTAAATAGGACAAATGAAAGTAAGACATTTTCAGCCCTTAGATTGAAGCAATCTAAAGATCCAAATTTTGACACATATATATTTTCAATTCTTGAATTCAAACTAACCCTTCCATTGTTATATAAATATATATATTTATAGAGAGAGTGAAAGAGGGCATATGAGAGGCTCATGAGTTGTATTTTGAGTTTGTGAGTTGTGGAATTATAATTTGAGTGTAGAAAATTTGTTTGGTTATGATTTTTGAATAGAGTGTTGAATTAAGTGTGGAATTGAGTTTTGAAAGTTTGATTTGACATGTGAAGCAAGAAAATTTGTTTGGTTATAAGTTTTGGAAAGAGTTTTCAAAATTTAATTCAAATTGTTATAACTTATAACAAAACACATTTCTTTCACACTATTAAAAATTCTGATTAACAGTCATAACCAAACTATTTTTAAAATTCAATTAAAAATTTTATTATTAACAGAAAATAACATTAATCAATTTTTAATTGAAAATACTACAAAGAAAATAATTTTTTTTCAAAATAAATATTAAAAAAATTTAAATCATAAATATTTAAATAATTTAAATAATCTAAAAAATTTAATAAGTAAAAAATTAAAATAAATATTCAAAAAATTTAAATCGTAAAAATTTAAATAATTTAAAATTTTAATATTTTAAATTTAAAAACAACTCTACAATCAAATCGTAATCAAACACATAAAACAAAACTCAATTAAGAAATTATTTTTAAAACTCATAACCAAACATATAGCTCGAAACTCCATACTACTTTCATAACTCTACACTCAAATCGTAACCAAATACACAACAAAAAAATTAAAATATTTAAAAATATTTTTATAAAATAGAGTTTGAATTTATTTTTATAAAATATTTTAAAATTTAAAAAATTAAAATCGTCGTAACATATTTAAATATTAAAATATTTAAAATCTTAACAAAATTAAAATATTGATTTGAATTGAGTTTTGAATTATGTGTTTGGTTATGAGTTTTGAAAAAGAATGATTATGTTTTGAATTGAGTTTTGAGAAATGGGTGTAGAATTATGATTTGAAAACTCAAAACAAACAACATACTTAAATCAATAGGTGAAACTATAATTTAAATTGCTTACCAAACGGAGCCATATATTTTCAATTCTTGAATTCAAACTGTGTGGGTAAAAATCTGATCACACTGCCCGTTTAGTGATCAGCAGCAAAGCACCGGCAGAATAGATGGCTCTAACAACCTGTAACAGAAAGGAAAAGCTCCGGCGGTGGTTATTCCACCCGGGGGCACTCCGACGATCAAGTCAGTACGTTTCTCAAGGATAATCAAGTATTAAACTGAATACTCAAAGTATGAATTACATACCTTAGACCCACGGGGGTGCCTCTCTTTTATAATATACTTAATCCAAGTCCAACTAGAAATATGACTTCTATGTACCCCAATCTTAGTACTTACTCTGGACTCTTTAGGAGATAAAGATAAACTCCCTAAGAGGTTTATCCCTGTCATGCATATCTAACTGTTCGCTAAACCTCGTCACCTGAAAGGGGTAACAACTATAAGCACATAGCAGAGTGAGAAATATCAAATTATGAGTGTAGGGCGCAAAATGGCCATGAATATTTATTTAAGCTAAAACATTAACATAAATTGAGTTGAGTAGAATACACAAATTAATTAAGTGTCAGAAACTGAAATAATCACTGTAACCACGGTACATCACTAAGTAACATTCACTACACTGGTTAATGGATCCATGACAAACACTGGACCACAAAGTGGTCAAACACTAGCCAATGGTTATTTAAGTCCCCCGAGGCATGGAACTCCCGTGGTGGTACTCACAAAACATATTTTCATATAAGGTCATAGCCAAATATTCTTTAAAAGTAAAACAAACATATACATGGGTTTCACTTTTAAGCAAATAGGCTCAGAAATAAAACCACGCAGCTGAAACTTTTATAAAACATAACTTTTATTAATATCTTAAAAAAACATAAATTATATAAAATAGATTTTGGTAAGTTAAAATATAAGTAAAATACTCTTTGGTAACTCAAGATATAATAAAACTCACCTTAAATTAATTCATTTATCCTTTCTTTCCACCACCACTCCAGATGCTTACCCATGCGTCCTCTTATCTACTTTCTATTTTTTTCTTTCTGTTGCCTTAAACACGCCATTCTTTCCTATTTATAGGAAGGTAAATCGTGGGTAGCAAGCCACAGAAAGTTTCAAAATTTTGACGCGTGTAAAATTTGCTATTTACTCTGGTCCACCCTTATCTATTTTATTAATTAACTTGTTTGAATTCTATCTTTTTACTTGACCATTGACTAATCCATCTTCTTAGGTCTTAGACATATTTTGACTATTTGACCTTTTTTTTTTTAATTTAAAAGTTATTACCTTCTTTGGTAATTCAAGATGACTCCTAAAACTTACGTATAATGATAAGTGAGGTTCATGTCTAAAAACCTCACTATCCAACTATAAATCACCACTTACCACTTACTAAAATATTTAATGTGTAATATTTCACAATGTATTTCTTTAACCATAATATTCTCAATCTCCTAAATTATGCATTTATTTATTATTATTTATTTATTATTATTGCTGTCACTACATGTATATATATAGATACTTATTTTATTATTTTTATTATTATTATTATTTATTTTATCGTAATGTTAAATTTAAAACATTCGGGTGTCACATTTCTCCTCTCCTTAAAAGACGTTTGTCCCCAAACTTGACGTACCTTGGTTTTCGAAGAAGTGTGGGTATTTGGCTCGCATTTGGCTTTCAGTTTCCCACGTTGCTTCTTCGATACGATAATTTCTCCATAAGACTTTTACGAGGGGTATAGTTTTATTTCGAAGGATCTGATCACGACGATCGAGAATCTGTACAGGTTGCTCTTCGTAGGAGAGATCTTCTTGAACTTCTAGGTTCTCACGATCGACAACATGCTCTGGATCTCGAAAATATCGACGAAGCATCGAAACGTGAAACACATTATGGACATTGGATAGTTCGGGTGGAAGCGCAAAACGATATGCTACAGGACCAATCATTTCGAGTATCTCGAATGGGCCGATGTAGCGTGGTCTTAACTTTCCTCTTTTCCCAAATCGGATTACCCCTCTTGTCGGTGAGATTTTAAAGAACACATGATCTCCTATTTGAAATTCTAAGTCTCGTCTTCGTGTGTCTGTATAGCTTTTCTGGCGGCTCTGGGCAATGTGAATTCGTTGTTGGATGAGTTGAATTTTATCACTCATTACTTGCACGATCTCGGGGCCTAATAATTTTCTATCTCCGACTTCCGTCCAACACAGAGGTGATCGACATCTTCCTCCATACAGTGCCTCGTACGATACCATTCCAATACTTGCATGGTAGCTATTATTATATGCGAACTCCACTAAAGGTAGGTGATCATCCAAGTTACCTTTGAGGTCTAGTATACACAAACGTAACATATCTTCCAAAGTCTGGATCGTTATTTCAGATTGCCCATCAGTTTGCAGGTGGTAAGCCGCGTTAAACCTTAGAGTGGTTCCCAAAGCTTCTTGTAATTTGGTCCAGAAGTGAGACACGAAGCGGGGGTCTCTATCGGATACGATTGAAACTGGGGTGCCATGCAAGCGAACGATTTCCTTAACGTAGAGAGTAGCGAACTTAGAGAGGGAGTACATGATTCTGATTGGTAAAAAATGCGCCGACTTTGTCAATCGATCTACGATAACCCATATTGCATCATTCTTTGAGACTGATTGCGGTAGCCCGACCACGAAATCCATAGTAATATGCTCCCATTTCCATTCGGGAATAGGGAGTGGCTGCACCATACCTGCAGGTCTCTGATGCTCTGCTTTAACTTGTTGACAACGCAGGCATTTTGAGACATAGTTTGCTATGTCTTTCTTCATTCCTATCCACCAGAAGTGTTCCCACAGATCGTGATACATCTTCGCATTACCAGGATGGATCGCAACCCCCTCGAGCTATGAGCTTCTACTAATATCTTCTTCTTGAGTTCTGGAAGGTCGGGTACGCAAATTCGATTTCGAAATTTTAGTATCTCATTGCTTATTGTAAAGTCAGGATCAGGCGTTTTTCCTTGCTCCTCGTACTTTTTCTTCAAAAGTTTATCTTCACATTGGTGGGCTCTAATTTCTTCAATCAACTCAGGTTCCACAATTATGTTGGCGAGTAATCCATGGATCTTGCAGGGAATGAGGGTACATGCCAAACTTTTGGTCGTTTTTCGACTTAGGCCTCGTTTGGCAAGAGGCTATTTTAGCCAATTAGCCAAAAAGTTACTAAATTAGCCAAAAAGCCAACAACCCATACCAAAAAGTCAAAGATTCTCTTTTCTCTCTACTTTTTGCACATCTTTTCGTAATTAGCCAAAAAGTCATCCCAAACATACAAGTTTTTTTTACTTACCTTTTTAGCCAAATAGCCAAAAAGTTACTAAATTAGTCTGTTCCCAAACGAGGCCTTAGTGCGTCTGCTACTACATTAGCTTTGCCGGGATGATGATGGATCTCTATATCGTAGTCCTTCATAAATTCTAGTCATCGTCGTTGCCTCATATTCAATTCCTTCTGTGTAAACAGATATTTGAGACTTTTATGATCAGTGTAGATTTCGCAGGCTACTCCGTAGAGATAATGACGCCAGATTTTGAGGGTGAAAATCACCACAGCCAATTCTAGATCATGAGTTGGATAGTTCATTCCGTGAGTCTTTAGTTGGCGAGAGGCATAAGCAATGACCTTCCCGTTTTGCATAAGAACGCAACCCAAACCATTGTATCAGGCATCGCTATAAATTATAAACCCTTCTGTTTCCGTAGGGAGCGCTAGTATTGG